CAATGGAGGGTATAAGTTAGCTGCCTTAACCTAATTTTTTTCTTGGTCTCTGTCCACAGTAATTTTTTTTCTTTTAAATCTTTTTCCCCTCTAATTGAAAAAGTAATATAAGTTCAGTATGTATTACAAATTAGCTTAGAGGAAAAAAATTTTCTCTAAATCTCACCACTGAAAATTAACCGCTTCATGTTAATGTTTGCCCTTCTATCCTTTTGTCTCAGCACATGTTTATTTATATAAAATGCAATATGATTCACCCATCTTGAAATATTTTTCATTTAATACATTATGAATATTGTTCTTAGCCAATTAATATTCTTTTATAATATTTAGCCAATAAATATTTTTTATTAACATAAATAATACTTTCTTTTATATATACATCTTGAGCACAATTCTGATTAGCACTTTCTTAAAATAACCTCCTGGAACTAGAATTGCAAGGCTAAAGAGTATATCTCTTTTTTGATACATATTACCAAAATGTCCTCCAAAAAGGTTATTAAAAATTCTTACTCTGACCACTGATGCATTGTTAGTGTCTATGTTAATTAAATGGCTGATTTTTATGTTTGTAAGGAACAACTAAAGGCTTGATATTTTTTTAACAATGCATATATACTGACTGCATTGGATTCTGCTTGCACTAAGATTTCTAGAAGGCATGTTTAACAGTGTTTAAAGGAATAAACCTTATCTCCATCACTGATTAGATTTTTTAAAAAATCAGGTGGAGCTGTTAATGTGTCTGTGAAAGATGTGACACATTAATCCCAATAAACAAACAGTATGTATTTCAATGATTCAAAGATTTTGGTTTAGAGGATACCAGTACCCTAATACGATAATGTATAACCACTATTACAAATGAAAATATTAAAATGGATAAGAGAGACATCCTTGCAAAATTTGCCCCCGAACTTGAACTTCCTTTTTGTCTTCTTTCCACTATAATTCAACTGAAAACCAAGATGGGTAATATTTTCATTCAATTTTAGTTTTTAGCTTCTATTAACTCACCTAAGTGTTTGTAATGGTGATTGTGAGCTTGTAATAAAACCTTTACTCGATCCAAAGGAGCAACTGTTGTTTTTGCACAGCATCCAGCAATACCTAAAAAAATGTTAAGAGGTCAGGAAGAAATTGTATACCATTTATTTCCAGATGGAAATCATTATTTGTTCAGCTAACACACCCTGTGATCTCCATGGGTGGAACTGCCCAGTAGAAGGGCTATGTAGATGACTGGCTGTCATTCCTTGTAACATGATAACTGAATATATCATACTTAAAAATAAGTTTTAAGAATGTAAATCTGCCCCCTATTACCTGATGAACACCAAGAATCTTGCTAAATGTGGTTATGGAAACAGACACTTGAAGGTATTTACTCAACTGTAAGGCTCTGTTTGAAGTAACCTCCTCTTCTTCTGCATAACTTTTGCATTAAAATAATGAACTTTTACCCCAAAGTTCATTCATTCATTCATTCATACATTCAGCAATTATGTATTTGGTCCCTACCATATGCCACTATGCAGACATGTGGATGACAGTAAAGTGCATACATACAGGCCAGCCCTACTAGCTTGGCATGCTTCTAAGGTGACAATATATACTTTTTGCTATGTTGTTTGTGTCCTGCCCCCCAAATTCATATGTTGAAAACTAATTTCCAACGTGATTGTATTTAGAGGTGAGAATTTTAGGAGGTAATTAGGTCATGAAGGTAGAGCCCTCATGAATAGGATTAGTGCCCTTATAAACTAGGCCCCAAAGAGACCTCTGACCCCTTCCACCTTGTGAAAACACAGCAAGAAAGTGCTGTCCATGAGGAAGCAGGTCCTCACCAGACACTGAATCTCCTGGCGTTATGATCTTCAACTTCCCAGTTTCCAGAACTACGAAAAATAAATGTTTGTTGTTTACAAGCCACCCAGATTGTGATATTTTTGTTACAGCAGCCCAAATGAACTAAAACACTTTTGTAAAGTATCCTACATGTACAAATGCCCACACACTCTGTGATCTCTGATTTGGTTTCCATTAAAACGATGGAGTTGACTTTCAGTGGGGTTATATCTGATAAACCTATCACAAATTGAAAATATAAGTTGAATATGCATTTAAATTAAGGGTGAATTTTACTCTATATAAATGATACCTTAATAAACCTGATTTTAAAACAATATCGCTATGTAAAGAAACAAAAAACAAAGAAACTACACAAACTTCTAAAAAATAAACAACTTAATCAAGATTCCTTTGCAGTTTTCAGTATATGCTGTCTCCAATTCTTTTCCTCTTTTTAATAGGTTTTGTGTAATAAATAACTGTAAGATATATAGAAAAAAGTACACAAATCATAAGTATGCCTATTAATGAATTACATACTACAAGGTGAATACATCCACGTAAGGACCACCCAAATCAAGAAATGAAACATTATCAGCCTCCCCACATTACAGTCCTTCTTCTGTACTCCCAAAATCACTATTTGCCCCTCCTTCTCAGAGACAACCAATCAGCCTTCTGACTTCTAACGACATGGACTTAGTTTTCACTGTTTTTGAACTTTATATAAATAAAATCACACAGTATGGCTTGCTTTGTGTCTGACTTCTTCTCTCCAATATTATTCATCCACTGTTGCATGTGGCAGGAATTAATTCATTTTCAGTGCTGAACAGTATTTCATTGTGTGATTATACTATATTTTAGTTATATATTCTAGCAGTAATGGGCATTTAGGTTGCTTCTGGTTTGGGGCTACCATGAATATTTCAGTCAGGAACAGAAATATATACGTTGGTATATATCTAGCAACGGAAATATTGAATATGGCATACAAATGTTCAGTTTCATAGGTAACTGCTCAACTAGTTCCCCAAAGTGGTTATATCACTTTACATTAGTACCAGCAGAATATGAGAGTCCTGGTTGCTATCCTCGCTTACATGCACCATGACTCTATTTCAATATCTAGTCAATATCATAAAATGTAACAAGTCTAAAACTGAACTCCTCATCTCCTCCATCATGAAAGTTGCTCCAACTACAGCCTTCCCATAACAGTCAATGAGAGCTTCATCCTTTCAGTTGCTCAAACCCAAATATGTCTCCCTTGACTTCTCTTCCTTATTCCATCTCTAGTCTGTGAGAATATTATTTATTCGATCTATATCTAAATCACAATTTTCTACCACCTCTCCTGTTAGTAAGCTGATCCAAGCCACCATCCATCATCTGAATTATTGCAACAACCTCCAAACTGGTCTCCTTACTTCCATATTTACCCTCCTATGGTTATTCTCACCAAGAAGCCAAAGTGATCATTTTGAAATATATCACATCATCTCACTTCTCTGCTCAAGACCTGTAATGGTCTAATTCACTACTTCACTCCAAGTAAAAATCAGAATCTTTACAATGGTATGTGAAGCCCTTCATTTTCTGCCTCCCTTTACCTCTCCAACCTCTTTCCTCCATCAACACCATTTGGCTCCAGTTACATAGGTATCGCTACTTTTCTTTGAACAAGCCAGGCCCTCTCCTACTTTGAAGCCTTTGCTTTAGCATTTCTCTCCCTCTGCCTGAAATGCTCTTACTGAGACATCAACTTGCTAAACTCTCTCACTTCTTCAAGTCTAATCAAATGTAATCCTCTCAATGAGGCTTAACACAACCTTATGTAATATGCACCAATTAGCCTCTCCATTTCCTTGTCCACTCTCCTTACTTCTTCCAATTGCATTCATCATCTCTAACATACTACATAACTTACTTTTTTATTTTGTTTATTGTCTTTCTCCTCACAACTCCCAACCAATGTAAACTTCAGGGTCTTTGTTTTGTTCTCTGATGTGCAATGAGCATGTAGTGGGCACATAGCAGGCACTCAAATGTTCCTTGTATAAGTGAATGTCCTTTTCATCAGTAGAACAAAATAATTAAATTCCTAATACTACTGCAGTATACAGATATTATCTTTCTACAAGTCCTCATAATATTAGATTTTTAAAAATTCCCAGGCTTAACAAATAATTGAGTTGTGACAACCCAGACAATCAATTAAGCAGGGGTAGATATTGAAATACCTCATTATGGGAAGACAGAGGAAATTTCTGAGAGACAATATGAACCTTCTGGCCCCACAGTCACACCAAAAGTAGAGCGGCACTTGCCAAGTAGGTAGCTATCTGTTAAGCAACTGTGACAGAGTTGGAGCCAGTTTTGGTTGTTGACAGTTTTGCACAATTTCCCAATCATTTTTAAAAAGCTGAACTCCAGTATTTGGTTTCTTTTAGGCAAACAGCAAAATCCAAGGCTATACTAGGCCATCTATGGTTTTTAAAAAAGAAAGGGGTGCCAGAATGTTTCACTGAAACCCTGGGGTCTTTGTAAGAGACTTCTCTCTTTTCCCTGCCATCCAAACCTGAAGAATGGGTGCCTGGTTCAGCCCTTCCACGTCCTCAGCCGCTCCACGACAGCTAGAGGCCTTTCCTCCCCAGGACCCTGCTGTCACTAGTCGAGTGATTATTAATTAGAAAAAGGTGACAGTAGGTCAAGGTAAACATCTGGCAGAGCATTGAAGCAGCTATTGCCCAAGAATGTCAGAACGGCCGCATGCATCCGACCTGCTCCATCCAGGTCCTGTCCCTGCCATCCGAGTGTGGCCGCGTCTTCTCGGCAGACACCCACCTCCCGCCAGAAAGGAGCGCAGCCAGTAGAAGTCGCGGCGGGCCGTGGGCCCTCCTGCTTGAGGCATCGCTGGAGGGGAGTCGGCTGCTGCCAGGGCCGCCGTCGTCGCCGCCGCCATCAGGACCAGCGCTGTGTCGGGAGCTTTAGTCGCCGATTTACAAACCAAGAGCCGGGGTCTAGGACATCTGGGGCTGACAGGCTGGTGCAGATCGCTGTGCGGGCGGGGCGGGACACCACAGGCGGCGCGGCATGATGGCGTACGCCAGGGGCGGGGCCAGGGGCGCGGTGCCGAAGCGCGAGTCTCAGAAGCTGGTCGCCTCCCCCACGCAGCCTCACCCCACATCCTGACGCCTGCGTTCGCTTTCACGCCTCTTCTGTTGACGCGCTAGAAGCGAAGCGTGGCCAGTGGGAAGGTCCCGGCAAAACCCACCAACTCAGAAAGCCCTCTCCTGTCCATTGACTTGTATTGGCAATTGACCTGTAACCGCCCATGGGGCAGTCTTCTGACTGTTGTAGCCGCCAGCCCCAGGAAGACACAGGACCACCAGAAATCAGTGAGTTATACTCTTTATTCAGCTAGCTGGGTCTGCCAGGGGTACGCAGACCCAAATTAAGCAGCCCGGAAATGTAGAGGTACAGGGTTTTTAAGCCCTAAATCCCATTCCTCATTCTGTCTTAACACAAAAGTCTATTTTTCTTCTGTTTACTAACTGTCAACCCACAGGTAGGTTGTGCAAGCGGGGGTACAGAAGCGGAAAGTTTATTGTTAGAATTTCATGTTCCCATGGGCTATAGCCTATGTTCCCCTGGGCTATAGCCTATGTTCCCCTGGGTGATAGCCAAGCAGTAATTTTCCAGCCAGCATATGACTTGCCTAAGGTGAACCTTTCCAAAACCAGCCTTTGGTTGCTGACTCTCCAGTAACCTCTGAAATTGCACCATGTCCTACCAAATCAGCTGTCTTCTCAGAGCTCCTCACTGAACCTCAATTTCTGCTCTCCCTAACCCCCCACTAAGCTTTCACTCCACCCCTATCACCTCTGCCACAGAAATATTGCTAAAGCAGATTCTTTCTTTGGAGCCCTCCCTACAAATTACATAAATACTTTTTGCCTGGTGAGGCCTTTCCAAATCTGTGCCTTCTGCTTAGCTCTCAAATACCACCGAGCTCTACTCCCCAACCAACCCCAAGTCTGCCCTAAACCCTTAGAAACTCCCAGTTCCTACTCCCTGGCCCGTTGCATTCCAAGACTGTTTCTTAACCACTCCTTCCTTATAGGCACTATTTCTAACTATGAGCCCCTCATCCCTTCCAGCCTGGGCAAAATTCATTCCTAGTCTGTGTGACTCAAGTTGTTCTGAATTTTTGTCCTCTCTTTCAGAAATTACATAATTTTCCACAATACTTACTCCAACCTTCTCTTACTGACACTGGTCTCCTCTTTCTCCTTCCATAGATGCCTCTGCAAAGTGTTTCTAGCCACATTTCATCACTAATGATGAGTCCAGATTTCAAGTTTATTTTCTTCATGTTCCCAATTTTCAATTTCTACCAGAAAATATAGGTCCATATAATATCATTATTTTTCTTTTACATGTGAAGAATCAAAAGCTCCCCAAAGTAGGGATGATTGCACATTATGAATGTAATTAATGCTACTGAATTGTACACTTAAAAATGGTTAAAATGGTAAACTATAGGAAGTATATTTTATCACAATAAAAAATACAAAGAAAAAGCCCCTAAGGTTTTTTTATGTTACAAAGAAAAAGAAATGTCTGTATTTTTATATTACATAACTAGCAAAACTGCCCCAGTTCCTAGTGCTAATGTGTATTTTTTTTTCTCCTGTCCTATAGGCTGTACTGGTACACCTCTTCTCATCCAGTTCCATTCCTAATGAGATGCACCTTACAGGTTTAATTTATCACTCAATGGCCCCACCTCCAAAACTCAATCCAGTGCTCACTTGGGCAGCACATATACTAAAATTGGAACAATACAGAGATTAGCATGGCCCCTGTGCAAGGATGACCTGCAAATTTGTGACGCATTCATTCCATATTTTTGAGTTGCTATAAAGTAAATAACTTGGGCATTCTTGATACTTGAATATGGAGTAAGTGAACAAGGAAAGGAAATAACAATGCGCTTTATAAGAACTGTATGGTAAAGTGGAAAATGCAGTGTCTTAAATAAAACTAAAATCGCCATAAAAAAAAAAAAAACCTCAATCCAGATCAAGGATGAAAAGTTGATCTAGATGATAACTGACAAGTCTAGTGATTTAAACATCCAAGTATTTCTTCTCTCTCTACTCAGCTGGTGTCTACTAAACTGCCCAACCTACAGATGTTGAAGTGTCTCAGGGCTTAGTCCATGAGTCTCTTCTATAATTACACTCATTCTTGGAGATTTCATCCAAGCTCATAGTTTTAAATATCATCTATGTAGTGATGACTCCCAGTCTCCAGCCCTTCCCACTGACTACCCAACTCTTTTTATGTTTCTAACATCTCCACCTGTATATCTAATTGGTATCTATTTATCCTATCTAAAACTTAATCCTCATCTTTCTTTGCAAACATGCTACTCCTACAGCCTTCTCTTATTTCATTAAATAGCAACACCGTCCTCTGTCTACAAACCTTGATTAATTTCCTGGTCTCCCTGCTCTCTCATGCCCCCTACTGTCTATTCTTAACATGGCAGCTAAAGCAATCCTTTAAAACCGACAACAAATCTTGTTACTTCTTATCCCCAAACCCTTCAATGGCTTCACATATCACTTAGAGAAATTCTTATAACAGTCTATTGGTTTCCTATTATATCTCTGGCCTCAACTCCTAGGACTCCCTTCAGTCACACTAGCTTCTTTATTCCTCATAAATACCAGTCATGCTCTCCTCCAGGCTTTTGCACATCCTGTTCTTCCTGCTTGTACTACTTCTCTCTTAGGTGTTCCTCATTCTCTCCCTTCCTTCAGGTAGTTACATAGATATCACCTTTCCAAGGAGGCCTTCCCTGGCTATAATATTTAAAATTACCACCCATTCCAACCTCATCTCTACCAAAACTCACTCTCTCATTTCTCTATTTTAATTTAAATTTATTTCCACAGCATTTATTGGCATTACGCGCACACACACACACACACACACGACTTATTTCATATATAAAATGTTTTCCTTATCAGTTTCTCCCCACTAGAATGTAAACTCTATGAAGTTAGGGATTATCCGTTTTGTTCATTAGATATGTCATTTTCCACCATATAGATGATAAATGATGCAGAACTACTTAAAAATCAGTCTTTTTTATCTCTCATTTTTAGGATAACTACTAGCTAGAGGCTAAAGAAGTGTAGAAAAAACAATCCCCTTTCTCAAAGAATGTATTACTTAATGGGATGAATGTGAACTTAATGGTAAAATAAATATAATACATAAATAAAACTTGGGGATACAGAGGAAAGGCAGACCATATTTGTTAGTGGTTATCAGGAAGAGAGGGAACTGAACTGTCTTATGACATGGCTAAGCATGTGCCAAAGCAAACACACAAAGACACATTAAAAAATTGAACATATTCAAAGAACAAAGAGTAGTCCAGTTTGTCTCTCTTAAGATCCTTGAGCCCTTCCTCGTGACTCCTCAACACTTGTATGGCAGGTCACTGATGAATAACATTAGAGAAGGAGAGCAAAGTTATACCATGAACAGTTTTAATCTTGGTCTAAAGAGTTTAGACAATAAAGTGGATAATAAAAAACTGGTGACAGCTATGTTTTAGAAAATTAATCTGAGAGATTAATAGGATGATTGGGAAGGCAAACACTGATAGATCTGACAACAAGGAAGACAGTTATGAAGTTTTATCAACAATCCAGAGGGCTGGTGCAAATATGAAAACATTGTGATCAGAGAGAAATAGAGGAGAAAGCATCTTCTAGGCTTCCTAAGGTATGATATGTGGAGGGCAAGACATAGGAAAAGTCAAAGTTGCTGCACAGTTTTTTGCTAGGATGATTAAGAAACTTGATAGTAGCATTAACAGAATAGGGAAGACAGAAAGAGGAACTGGTTTAAGGTACAGAAAAGGGTTAGTGATGTTGGCACAAACTGTAAAGATGATGAAAACATACAAAAGCACCAAAGGACAAAGGTTTGGTAAATATATTTTTTTAAACATAGACAATATTTGAATACCATATCAATCATATATAACAATAACTACCTAAAAAGCTTTCTTTGAAAGCTTTCCCCAACCCACACATATTCTGACATTTTATGAAACAGGGAGGAATTGGCGTGCCATTTTAATAAACATCATTGACCCTATTAAAAGAAGAAGATACAAAGAAATGGAAAGATATTCTGTGTTCTTGGATTGGAAGAATCAACATAGTTAAAATGACCTTATTACCTAAAGCATTATACAGATTTAATGCAATCTCCATCAAAATCTCATCAGCATTTTTTAAAGAAATGGAACAAAAAATCACCAGATTTGTATGGAAGCACAAAAGACCCCCAACTGTCAATGCCATCCTGAGAGAAAAGAACGAGCCTGGAGGCATCACTCTGTCCAACTTAAAATTATACTACAAAGCGACAATAATCAAAACAGCATGGTATTGGCAGAAAAACAAACACACGGACCAGTGGAACAGAATTGAGAGTCCAGAAGTAAACCCATATTTATATGGGCAAATAATGTTCAACAAAAAAGCCAAAAACATACAGTGGGGAAAGGAAAGCCTCTTCAATAAATGGTGCTGGGAAAACTGGAAAGCCACCTGCAAAAGAACGAAACTAGACTGTTGTCTATCACCACACACCAAAATTAACTCAAAATAGATTAAGGACCTGAATATAAGACCTGGAACAATAAAATGCACAAAAATGCATAGAAGAAAACATAGAAACTAAACTCAAGGATGTTGGACTTAAAGAGAATTTTATGAATTTGACCTCAAAGGCAAAGGAAGTAAAAGCAACA